ATGGACTTTGTGATTGGATTGCCCAAAACTACCAAGGGATACAATGCAGTATGGATTATAGTGGATCAAATCACCAAATTAGCTCATTTCTTAGCTATGAAGAATCCCGATATTCTAGTCACGTTAAGTCAACTTTACATACGATAGATTGTAAAATTACATGGGGTGTCATTATCAATCGTGTCAGATTGAGATATTCGCTTTGTGGCTCAATTTTGGCAATATTTACAAAAGTCATGGGAACCAAGTTGCATTTCAGTACTGCCTACCATCCTCAAACCGATGGTCAATCTGAAAAGGATGATCCAAATATTGGAAGATATATTACGAGCTTGCGCTCTAGATTTCAAGGGCAGTTGGAACGAACATCTTCCACTAATGAAATTTGTTTACAACAACAGCTATCAAAGTAGTATTGGCATGCATCTGTATGAGGCTTTGTATAAACGACCTTGTGGATCGCCTCTATGTTGGGGCGAAGCTGGTGAGAGCATTTTATTTGGTCCAGAAATTATCCGAGAAACCACTAAGAAGATTCAAGTAGTTCAGAATCAACTACGCATGGCTCAGAGTAGACAAAAGAGCTATGCAGATCAAAGGAAGAAACCTTTAAAATTTCAAGTGAGTGATTATGTATTGTTGAAGGTATCCCCTAAGAAAGGAATATCGAGATTTGGGAAAAAAGGTAAGTTGGTTCCCAAATACATTGGACCCTTCGAGATAATACAACGCATTAGAAATATAGCTTATCAACTTGCCTTGCCAGTTCCGTTATTCGGAATACATGATGTGTTTCATGTATCTATGTTAAGGAAATGTGAGCTAGATGTGTCTTACATTATTGATTGGAATGATGTATGAATTCAAGAAAATGGAACGTACGAAGAACATGTGTAAATTCTCGATACCAAGAAGCAAATATTACATAACAAGGTCATATCACTTATAAAAATGCTATGACAACATCATGGTATTGAAGGAGCCACATGGGAATTGGAAGCAGATATATGTACAAGATATCTCTATCCTTTTTAGTTCTCAAGGTCAGTATCTAATTTCGGGAACGAATTTTTTTAAGGGGGATGGATTGTGATGACCCACAAATAAATTAATCATTGACACGGAGATTAGGTCATCAATTATAATTCTATATAATTAAAGATTATTTTTAGAAATTTCAAATAAACAAATGGACCTCAAATATAGATTCTTCACGTGAAAACAAGTCAAATGACTATAATTTAGGTCAAGTTTTGTAATAATATATATCTATAAATATATATATATAATGAATATATATATAAAAAAAATAAATGAATATATGTATATAAGTGTTAAGAGGACATACACAGTAAAACAAACATAAAACATGCAACAACAACCAAAAAAAAAAAGAATGGCAAAGAAATGGACACTTGTCCATGTGATGCAAGGAAAATGGCCTCAACCATGACATTGGAAGCCAAGGCTTTGACTATAAATAGACTGCCTTTGGCCCTTCAAACAGCGCACCAAAGAGAAGAAAGGAAGGGAGAGAGACAGGAAGAAAGGAAGGGAGAGAGAGAGGGGAAGGAATAGAGAGGAAAGAAAGAAAAGAGGTCAAAATTTTGTTGACCTAAGAGTTTGCTTTTGCGATCAAATTTTTTGGATAAGTTTTTTTTTTATTATTTAGAAATTCTATAAATTCTAGTCAAAGTTGATCCTCATTAAATATTTTTGGATCAAATTTAAGTATCATTATTTTTCATTAGTTATTCCCAAAAAATTATTTTAGCTTAACAAATCTCTTATTACCTATTGTTATTCTAAAATATTATTTTGGTTGTTTTATCACAGTACACGGTATTAAGTAGAAGTCAAGTCAGAGGTAGGATTTCTTTTATCGTTTACTATTATTTATGCATTTCATGCATGTTTGGGGGTTTCATGTCAAATTTATTTTTTTTATATGATGTATTGGTATATCGCTTTAATCATGGGGGTCAAACTTGGGTTTTATAAATAAATTGCGATCATGCACATGTTATATTTTTATTTATATCAAGACTCTAATTATCTTGTGAAACCACGTTGCATAATAAATATTTTATATATATATATATATATATATATATATATATATATATATATATATATATATATATATATATAATGTTTGATTTCTGTACTTGCTGTTGGGTCTGACTACGATATGACTTTATGAGAAAATTACTATTGATGCACATAATTGAGGGCAGAGAGTTAGAAGATATGTGGTCCTTGCAAAGATTCACAGGATTCCTACTAGCCCTTGGGTTCACTGGTTAGTAATATCGGTTGTCGTGGTAGCCTATGTGGCATCACAGAATTTCTGGTATTGGTGTTCTTAGAAAAGCAAGAAGGGCATTGGGTTCCCTAGGATGCAAGACTCCAAAGTTTTTCTCCAGAGGCGGTTCATGCATTGACTAGAAAATTGACGAATTGATATGATCGATATATGCTAAAATTTATTTACTTATTTAATTCATTACTTTGCCCTATTCCTACATTTATCTGTTATTTAGTTATATTATGCATTATTTTAAAACCTTGATAGTCAATGATAAACGTTATTCTACTGGGTTGGTGAGCTCATCTATATCTAACATTTTTCAGAAATTTGAAGTCAGATAAAAGGACAAGGTGAAAGGATAATGGACATAGGAAGTGTTGTTATTATTTCTCCTTATGTTATATCAAAAATATTTTAACTGATCGAGGGAAAATTATGTAATCGTACGCTGAATATAATAATACAAGGAAGAATTATTGTAAGTTATGTGTAGTTTTATTCCTTAATCACGTCCGAGTATTTTTTTAAAAAGAAAAAAGAAATCAAGGCGTGATAACCTGAGTTCAGTAGACAATGTCCAACGTCTGCACTACGCGGACAATGCTCAACGAATGGCGCTCAGCGTACAATGTTCAACGTCTGTGTCCAACGAACAATGCTCAATGCCTATGCCTAGTGGACAGTGTCCAAAAGACAATGCTTAGTGTCTACACCCAGTGGACAATGTCCAGCAAACAACACCTAAGGACAGTGTCCAACGCTTGAGCCCAGTGAATAATATCCACCGTCTGCACCCATTGGACAGTGCTTAATAAATAATGTCCAACGTGCACCCAACGGACAATGTCTAGAACCCAACGGACAACGTCCCACACCCTGCGGGCACTTGTGCCTCAACGCCCAACAGTTCTCTTGTGCAAACACTCTAAATCTCCTGCTTAGCACCTCTCTTACGAGTCGCCAAAAAGTTTGACTTATCTCTGTTTTGCTCTCAAGCAAGCAATCTATGTCTCTAGCTTAGCGTCTCTCTCACGAGTCGCCAAAAGTTTGGTTTATCTCTGCTCTGCTCTCAAGCAAGCAATTTATGTCTCCAGCTTAACGCCTTTCTCGCGGGTCGCCAAAAATTTGGTCTATCTCTATTCTGCTCTCAAGCAAGCAACATATGTCTCCAACTTAACTACTCTCTGCGGGTCGCCAAAAGCTCGGTCTCAAAATGTGCAATTCTCTGACGAGTAACTAGGAGTGTCAAACGTGTCGGATTAAACAGTTACGTGTCGGGTTAAACGAGTAAAAAATATGTAAACCCGTACACGACACGTTTAATAAACAAGAGAAAAAATCTCAACACGAACACGACCCATTTAATAAACAGGTAACATAACACGACTTATTTAACCAGTTTAATTTTAAAAAAAATTATATCAACAAATTTTAATACTCCACTTTTTTTACTGTCAACTGTGTTTACCTCAAAAAAGAGGAATTTTTAGCCAAATTTTGATTAAAAATCAGACTTGAAGGCTTAAATAAAAAAAGAAACAAGAGGCCACTGAATTTTATAGGCAATTCAGCTCTCTACAGCTCCCCTCATTTATCGATGTGGGACAAAAATAAAAGGTATTGGTTTGCCTTTGTCTTTAAACTGCTCTCCATCTCCCCTCATTTGTTTTTGAACTACTACTTTACTTCTTCTTTTTTTTACATTGATTTATTTACTTCTTTTTTTCTCGCTAATTTTTGAAAATAATTATTAATTTATTATTATATTAATTTTATTTAAACGGGTAAACATGTGATAAACGGTTTGATAGGTCTCACTTGAACATGACACGTTTATTAAACATGTTTGATGAGTCAACCCATTTACCACTCAAACTCGTTAAGATCTTACCCAAACCCGCTTAATTTGTGTGAATTCATGTCGGTTAATCGTTTCGTGTTGAATTTTGACAGGCCTACGAGTAACCCTCAAATTTTGCCTCTGCTTTCATGTGGACAGCCTCATAGTCAACCTATATCTAGCTTAGCGACTCTCTCACGGGTTGCCAAAAGCTCGGTTTAAAGAGGTGCAGCTCTCTCACGAGCAACCCTCAAATTCTATCTTTTCTCTCATGTAAGTAGCCTCTATTTCTTTGCAGCCTGATGTGTTGGCCTCTCTCTCCAAGTAATCATGTTGGATATTTTGATGTTGAAGTAACATTGTTTTTGTCATCTCTAGACACGCTCTTGAAACTTAGGTCGTCTGCAACCTGAGGGACAACATTAGATTGAATGTCAACAATCAACCCTCATCCTTTTTGTGGCCATCCAGCATCGCTGCCTCGTTGTCGCAACGCTCCCGCACTTAACACCTAGTGTAAACAAGGTTTGCATGCTCCCAACACTAAGGATTTGACACTTGCTCCTGGGTACTAGCTCTCCTACTCTTGGCACCCAGCTTTATGATGCCCCTCCTGGCGCCTCTTCTAGATGTCTTGCTCCTAGCGCCCCCTCCTGGCACCCCCCTTGTGGCGCCTAACTCCAGGTGTCTCGTCCTCCTACACTTGTGTAGCTCTATACCCAGCATCCACCGCTGTCGCTCTTAGCTCACCTGTCGATCCCTTCACTGCGCACAGTGCCTATGCGGTCGCCCATCTAGCGCAGCCCCTAGCGAGGCTGCCACTAACGCACTCATCCAGCAGCGTCATCCCTAGCGCATCTGCTCCTCCCCGAATGACACCTGTCGCGGTGTGCTCGCCGTCCCAAGGCACCTTACCAAAGCCCGCACCGCCTTGTCAACGCCATCTTGGGCTCTAGCCTCCACAATGCCCGTGGTGGCCCCTGCCTCGCCGATGCCTGCTGTGTTGCTGACGCCCCTTGCCTCATCAACATCTACTGCGTCGTTGACACCCGCTGCCTCGCCGACACCTGCCTACACACTAGCTTCGATGTCGATTGTTTCATCATTGCCTACCTCCTCTTTGATGTCAATGGCTTCTTACATCTCTCCTTTGTCATCCAACAGCAGCCTCTGGTAACCTAGCTCATGGGTAACCTCCCTTGCCTCACTCAACTTGCTACCACTCATGGTCATCTCACTAGAAGTTATCTCTCAAGGGTAAATGGAATGAAAAGAAAGGGAAAAACCCTTATTTATAGCCTAGGGTTTTTAAAAATCATAATCAGTGATAGAATGGGGTAAAGTTTTTTGTAGCAATGAATGTCTTATGGGAAAGAACTGTATCAAGAAGGGTCATCAGTTAAAAGGAGTCTTCGTCAGCCAGAGTCCAAATCCAACTAAATGCCCTTTTCTCCAAGTTTTATTGGACTCGGGACATTGGGGGATAAATGATGGGTCCATACCAAGGCCCAACTCAGGTTATGGGCCTAACTTGAATAAAGGATCCACCTATATGAAACCCAGTGGGTCCAACCCAAAAGAGATTCACTCCTAGTTAGGCTCATCAAGGCTCTAAGAGTTACGCCATCAAGGAGTAGGCAACGCCATCCCAAGAGCCTCATCCACACCACCTTGGAGTAAGGAACAAGGAAGTCAACCACGCCATCCTAAGAGCTGGTCTTGAGGAGAGCCCCGCAACAACCTCATCCATTTTGAAGATGACGCCACCTCCACCAAATTAACTTTTTAGTTACTAATAAGTCATCTCAATATGTTAGGAGGCGATAAAATATAAGCTCCACCTACAAATTGGGGGTATCTTGCACAAGATATCACATCTGACATCACTCTCATTGCTCTCACCTGATCTCCTTACACTCATACATCTATAAAACACTCAAGTCATACTATCCTTTCACAATGGAGTAGGTCACCTTGACCGAACTACTTAAATTGTGTGTTGCTTGTGTTGAATTTTCTCTATCTATTTTATTATCTGCATTAATTGCACATCCAGGGGGTGTGCAAAATTAATTTGTGCATCATCAGTCGCCACCCCCACCGCCATCACCACAACCACCACCACCGCTTTTGCCGTAACAATTACCACTGCCACTGCCCCACCATTACCACTGCTCATTCCCCTATAATCAGTACTTAAATTCATTTCTTTACTTTATGTTTGTAATTTGATTTTGGGTGAAAATATAAATATATTTATTATTGATAATTTTTTTTTATTATTTCGTACTTTCAGGTACAGACAATAACCAGTAATTAAAAATAGAGACAATTATTACTAATAGATATATTTAGTAACCAAAACATTTAGAACAACATTAGAGGATAATATAACAAACCCAACCTTAATGCTTGTTAAAAAAAGAAGTATTGTTATACTTAGATGGGTCGACTTTGATAATTAAAGTGAGGCCGGCCTCCGAAAATTCCTTTTTTAAAAATAAATATTACTTATAAAAAACTTGAACTCGTAAATTATAGAGAATAAATTGTAATTAAATTTACTAAGCCAAAATAATTCATTTTTTTTATATTACAGAGTTCTTTTAACTCGTTTTTCAGTTGCCAGAAAATATTAATTACTTGATGTTAAAATATTCAATTTTGTATTATCCTAGAGTCCTATAGTGGACCTCAGCCCTTGTTTAGACTTCGTCCCACATTCTAAGTCACGGTAAAAAAAATTATAAACTTTATGCATTGCATGAAACGATGATTATTAGCTTAATATAAAAGAGACGCTCGATGGGATAGCATCATACCACCCATTATCAACTCCAATTGGCAAGATGTTTGGGAACACAATTAAAAAATCGTGGGGGTTGAAATAGAATTGAGCCAAATTCAAGGGATCTACCACCGGAATAAAAATTCAGGCGTCAGACTGAAAGCACAACTGAGAGCATCATATATGGATTCCTCGCTGGGTAATTATTCCGTACAACGCCCACTTACCACAGATTGCGAACGCGCTGCTTCTTACAGTTGTACCTGAATGCCTTATTCTTTAATGAGTAATGATAGAGTCAAAAATTAGATTTAATAATTTTAATTATTGAATAGATAATAAATTTCAATAAATATTAAAACGTATAGTAAAATTAAGATTAAAATTATTAAATTTAATTTTTAAATCTATTTTTTTAAGTCTACTCGAACAGATTTGAAACTTTTCCCACGGGATAGACTTTGTTGCCTCTCTGCTCCGATCGAACCTCGAGGCTTTGAGCTTTGTAGCCCTGTAGTGACCTCCAATCCCCTTTGAAAAAAACTCAACTCTCTCTCTCTCTCTCTGGTTAACAAGACACATACACACGTTTGATCCTTACATCAGTCAATGGGTGGAGGTAACAAGAAAAGGTTCAACAAACCAAAGAATCGTGGAAGGCCACCAAACTCTTCCTTAAGTCGAGATGATAGCTTTGTCATCGGCGGCTTCTTATCAGATTGGTCTGTTGTCGATTCTCCTCCTTCCAGAGGTCTCTCTCTCTCTGAAATTGGAATATATATATATATATATATATATATATATATAAATGCATTTTGGTGAAATTGTGTTATGGGTTTGATTAAGATTGTTTCGTTTTTCTTTGCTTGGTGGATTTGTAGGAAGGAATGCTAATAATGGAAAAGGAAATGGGAATGAAAATGGAAATTCTAGGTCTGCATCGAGATGTGGGAATTCAAAAGGTTCTGGATCCAAAACCGAAGCGCAGAAAACTAGGGGAAATACTATTGGTTACGTGTACCCACACCTAGTTGTTGATTTTCAGGTCAATATTGTTTTTCAACTCAAATTTGATTCTTTTTGTTAAAGCTATGTGTATATCTGTGTTGATTTTTGCTGTGATTAGAGAAGAAGTTGATCTATGAGCTATGTTTGAGGTTGGGAAAAGCTTTCTTGATTGTTGGGACTGATTGATATGGTGTGCAGGTGAGGGGTGAGACTTGATTTGTAATGGGGGAGATTTCTATTTTGTGGTTAAAGCTTCTTTTTTGTTGATAGGGGAAGTGTTTACTAAATAAGGGGTATTAAGTATTAGGTTCAAGTGAGTTGGGTAAATTTGCGAGTTGTTTGAAAGAGTCTAGATTTAGAATTGGAATTTGTTTGTGGGTTTGAGATTAAGGATTACTTTTATCTTGCCCAAAGAATAACATTTTTCTTTTCCTTGACTTTTTAGTGGTCTGAATGGAAGTATAGCTGCATTAACACCTTGTTTTAATTTACTTTTTTTAATATCAGAATGGGTGGTCTTTATCAAGTGAGTTCATTTTTTGGATAAGTTTGCGAATTAATATGGTGGGTTCTCACTATTGAAAGTGGATGTGATTTTGTTTTCAAAATTCTTCCTTTGTCTCTTTTGATGTTAACAATGATTTGAATGATTTTGATTTTTAAAGTAAAATTGGAGTTTTTTATTTTGTGCGTGATACTTTTTTGGAAGTGTACTCATTTTATTTATGTAGTAGTTTGGAAGGGGTAAATGGTAGGTTCTATAATTAACAATCAACTTTTCAAAGGGTTGGATGGATTTGTCTAGTTTGGGTGGTGTGTAGAGGTGGTCTGGATAAGTAATTATGTTGGCTTTTATTTTTGTATGAAAGTTAAAGAATTTCTTCTGTTTTTTTTTTTTTATATCTGGTTTTTGTTGCTGAGGAATTGTATCATTAACGAGGACTTGATGGTCCAACAAGCAGTTTTAGTTGCTGGGTTTGATTCATTTGTATTAACATCTTTGACTTGTTGGGTTTGATTGCTTGGAAAACAATTTGGTGATTAGTTTTTGGTTTTTCCTTACAGAATGCACAATATATGCATTTTGAAGTCTGAGCTTGGTTCTAAAATGGGGAAAAAGGAAAAATACAATTGATTATAAATTCAGCAGATGTTAAATGCCAGAACAGCTGTTTTGAAAGTTCAAATAGGCAGAATTGGTAGAATAAGTCGTCTGATTTAAGAATGTTGGTGCTTGTTTTTGGAGGCACTGTTCCAGAATCAACACTAACTTCTTTTTTTTTTTTTGAGGTCAGGTTTGGTTTTGTACATCTGTTTTATTATTTAAGTATCAAAGATATGGTTATTTTTACTTAGTTGGAATTAAAAGTGGTGTATATGCAGATCAGACGAGAAAATTTTTGATAGGAATCGGATTATATTTCGTTATAGTAGGCGTAGACGTAGGGATTAGGAGTTATTTGTTATTTTGCTTTTCAGGGGCTTAGTTATCATTATGACTATTTATTTTTTTAAGAGTTCTTTTAGGATTTGTATTCTCCCTATATATATATATATAGGGGATATGATATTTGTTTTGATAGACTTTGATTATTGATTATTAATATTGAATCCTGATATTGCTTCTTCCTTAAATTCTCTCTCGATTTTCATCCCCTAATTCTTCACTTCTTATCCCTAATTCTTCACTACTACGATCTATATCAATTTGATATTAGACCTCAATTTCGATTCGTACAAATCACAAAAATATCAACAATACTATTCATCGAAAAAAGAAAAATTGTTAGTCAAAATTACTTATCACGTGTTGTTCGTGCGCACTGTTCACCGCTCCTGTTAGCTATTCACTGTTCATCACGTTCCAACAGAACCATTCGGAAAAAAAAAAAAACTTTGCTAGATCCGTATTGTTCAGAAAAAAAAAAAAAAACTGTTCATCGTGCACTGTTCTGGTCTCGTTCCCAAATAAAAAAATAAAAAATTGTGCACTGTTCATTGCGACTGTTTTCATTTCTGCCCCTTGTCTACTTCGACTTCATCGTTGCCCATCTTTTTCATCGTTCCATTATCGTTGACTTCGTCGTCCTTGCTGTAGTAGTAGCCTAGTGGGTTGAGGTTTGACCCACAGTTCACAAGTCGTCATCGTAGTCGTAGCTCCACCGTTTGTGAGACTGGTTATTGAGTGAAGTCCATTGTGTTAAAGGAAGAAGACATTGGTTTTAACTCTTTCACCCCATAAAGCTCCAGAATTACAGGAACCTCCCAGAAGTTCCAAAAAGTTACAGAATCACCCCATAAGTTTCAGAAATTTGAAAAATACCATCAGAAGCTCTAGAATTGCAGAAACATCCCCAGTAGAGTCAGAAAGCTACAAAAATTTCACTCAAGAAGTTCCAAAAATTACAAAAACACCCCAAAAAGTTTCAAAATTCGT